GATGTCACTGGTTGCTAGGAGCTGGGCGAGACGCCAGCCAGAGTGTCCCACTCAGCTCTTGGCAACCAATGACGTCAGTGAGCTGGGTGGGACTCCGGACAGAGCATCACGGGTTGTTTAAAGCTCTTTGCAACCTGGAATGCTTTGGCTGGAAAGGGGGTGGCAGGCCCCTCCACATGACCCAATGAGATGCCGTCTGAGGTAACCGTCTCTCTGGCTGCCTCATTAGCCACATTATAGAGACAGCACTGGCTACCCACAGACATAAAACACTAAAGAAATGTGTGACTATTTGTTGATCTTCTATCTGCAAATAATGATGTGTTTTTATTTTTGGTGTCCTCTTAAGATATCTTTTTAGTGTCCTCTTAAGATCATGCGCATACACATTTCCTGTATTTGGCAGCATTGTTTTGATATAATCTGTTACCCATTTTTAGAACATACAAAGTCCTTTATGTAAATAGAATGATCATTTGTATGGTGCTCTAAACAATCCTGAAATCTGGAAAGCACTGTGGGTGGCCTCTGGGTACAATACTCTCAAGGTGATGTTAATCTATAAGTTGATTACGGTATATTGATTTTTAGAGTGACCTACATCCTGTCAATAAACATACTGCCCATTGCTAAAATGTTGGAACATTGTTAAAGATTGATATGAATAAAAACAGCACCAATTAATATTATGCACACTCTGTCTTTGTATTGATGAGGGTAGGTCAATACAGTGATATACAGTATATAGAGAGCATTCATTATCTTTATCTATCAGTGCATACCATTCACTGTAAAGTACATTTCTGCTTCTGCACAACCCAAATCATTGCAGGCTCGGCAGGAATAGAAACCTTCATCTTGTTTTCTTACACGCTGTATAGTTAAAGTTCTGTTACGATCCCTTAAAATAATACCTGAAAAACAAGAATGAAATAACTTGAATACAATGATGATTTTGAAGCCCAAATTAAGCCATTTTTAATAGTGTGAGGAAAGTTTAGAACCCCTGTCAGCTTTGCATTGCTGTTTGGGAGGGGGAAGGGGGATTTCACATCACTTCCTGTCCCAACATGCTGAGAAATTTCTGGTGAGGCATGTGTTATGGATCTCTAGTTTGAAGTGTATCTAAAGCCTGGACAGAGTGATGAGAGGTTAAAACATTTGTCAGATTTTTATTGTTTCCTGTATCCTCATTGGATAGATTTTCCCTCTCTACTTGACTGCACTAAAAGTGAGGGAAAATCTAAAAACTTGAGTTGTCACTGGGTCAGGAACCGAGTATAAACTCTTTCAACAGGGACACGTATAGTGGCAATTGTCTAACAGAGGATTAACCAGAGGATTGAAGATATTTTTTTTCCTGTTTCTTTTCTGTTCCTTTCTTTCAAAACCTTGTCCGGGGTTTTAAATATTCTCTAATCTATTCAAAATTATAAACAAAGTTCTGACTTGAAAGTTAAGTACTTAAAAATGTCTAACAGCTGGAAATGATCAATTATAGCAGTACCCACCAGTGTGTGATAATTTCTAGGATGACAGATAGCATAGTCATTTACAAGACCAGTGTCCTAACAATAGCCATAGCAGCCCAGGTGGCTGCTTTGAGGCCTGGGATAGGCCTCCAGTTAAAGCTGCTCTTTATTGCACCATGATTGGAAAATATTTGTTCAAGTGTGACCAGACTCTTCCTTTTTCTATGGAGAAGAATGAGGTGTACCACACAGGCCCCATAGTTATTGTTGGCTAGGTATTGTGACGGGTAATAATGCTCCAGTCATTCGTTTGAGGATGGACAAATATCTCTCTACCCATCATTTGTTTTGTTTTTTCCTAAATAGATTTGTATTTGGTTTTGTATAAACACCAAGCACGTGTATTGCCACGACATAACAATAAGATCACAAATGAGCACTCAGTAGTGCTAAGCATAAGGTGATGCAACTAACCATCATGTTAATGGTGACATCTGCCTAGGTAGCTACATTTAATCTGACATAATTAGATGAGGTTATTTTTATTTTTTGGTACCTGAGTCTCCAACTAGAGCCTGGGCATTTTTGAACCAAACGACCTTTGGATCAGGAGTACCAGTGACTTGGCAGCGCACCTCCACCGTCTCACTAACATTAGTAGTCTGGTTCTTGAGTGCAGGTTGAATGATGGGAGCTTCCAATGCTTTGTGAAAAGAACAAGATGTCAAATAAATACATTCATGTAATTCAATTATTTGCATATGGAAAAAAATGTCTCCCTGTTATTACAAATGACAGACTTACCAAGAATATTTAATTCTATGACAGAACATTCATTCTTCTGCATCTTTCGGTCATATGCCACACACATATAGGGACCCTTTTCATGCCTAGAGATGTCTTGTAAACGTAGCTCTGAGGTGACATTTACTCCGTCTCCATCCAAAATAGTGGAATCCATTTCCACTTTACTGAAAAGATTCAAGTTCTCACAACTGACTTTTGACCTGCTTATTGGTATAGGAGAGCGCAACTTGAACCAGACTGGTTTCTCATACGTATCTCTATCAGCAGTGCATCTGAGGGTCACGTTGTCCCGTTCTGTGTGCTTGCTTTCAGGGTTCATGCTGATGCTAAGCTCTCCTGGAAAACATAAGAATCAGCAGTCATCTTAAATTGTGCTGACAAATAAAAGTGGAGTTAGGCTGCTATGGGTTACTACACTCTGTACATCCTTATTGTTTATTGCAATGCCTTATCAAAATACCTGAATGCCATAATTTTTAGTCAGCAAAGACATCTCAGACCTTGCTCACGGTCTGTGAGTTTTCCAAGGGTGACCACCTCCTGCACCTCTCATGAGACAGTTGTTATAATGGGCCATTAATCTAAATAATACCAGCTACATATTATGCTCTCCATGGCTTCCCCACAGCCTGGTAACTTGTAGGAAGTATGCAGCTGGGACAATGGTCCCAAGGGGGAAAAACTTGTTTGATTAACCGTTTTCAAGGCCTCTCTGCCGTCTATTAACACGCATGTGTGATAAAACAATAGGAACCGCCCAGTACAGTTCACACATGAGCGTCAACGTTGCATTGCGGCAAAAAATATATTGCATGTCCCGTTCTGAAGGCATTGCCACTGGAATAATGCCTCCATAGACGACTATTGAACTGCCTTTGAAATGATCGTTCAATGCTCTCTAGAGCATTGACATGGCATTAAACAAGCATTTCACAGGCGTTTTTGTAATAGGACGGAGAAAAAGCACCCTCCAAGTGCCGAGGGCATGTGCCCTGGTATGGTGCAGGGAGGGAGGGGGTGCTCACTTGTCTCACCCTCTTTCCTGCCCTGCAAGGCCTGTGCTTGGATCAAGAGTCAGGTAGGAGTTTTAGGGGGACCCTACATTCTCTTTCTGGTTTTGTGGGGCTGGGGTTCCCCCTTAAAATTCCTACCAGACCTAAAGGGCCTGGTATAACTTTTAGGGGGAACCCCACGCACATTATTTTATTTTTTTACGCAGGGGGACCCTCCTAACTTTCCGACCAGACCTAAAGGGATGGGTCAGGAGGGGAACCCCGCACTGTATGGTGCAGGGAGGGAGGGGGTGCTCACTCGTCTCCCCCTCTTTCCTGCCCTGCAAGGCCTGTGCTTGGATCAAGGGTCAGGTAGGAGTTTTAGGGGGACCCTACATTCTCTTTCTGGTTTTGTGGGGCTGGGGTTCCCCCTTAAAATTCCTACCAGACCTAAAGGGCCTGGTATAACTTTTAGGGGGAACCCCACGCACATTATTTTATTTTTTTACGCAGGGGGACCCTCCTAACTTTCCGACCAGACCTAAAGGGATGGGTCAGGAGGGGAACCCCGCACTGTTTTTTGTTGTTTTTTCATTTGTTTACATTTTCTTTTTCATTTTCAATAATTATTTTATCAATTTATCATTACTTTTTAGGGGAGGGCATTCTCCAAGCATTTTTGACGCCTCCCTAATGCCTTGCAAACACCTGGCTTATGCCTTATTAATGCTATAGGCGTTGATCATGCGGGCAATTCTCAACGCACATATGAAAGTGCTCTAAGGGCTTAAAGAAAAAATGACTGGCAATAGATGGAACAACTTTTCATCCGACCCAACTAAATAATTGGTAAATGTAAATGATTGCTGTTAGAAAATTGAAAAATGTTTCAGAAAATTTTTCATCATTCTGATCACATATGCTAGTGATGTAGCTTATCCTACCACATCCCACCACCCTGAGTAAACATCATAAAATGTCTCATTAATGATGGTCTGCAAATAATGATTTTGCATTATATTGGAAGATTTGTAATTTGCCAGTTTATTTGTTTGCTAGAACTTCTGTATATGAAGGAAAATAATTGTTGTACAAGAGCATTAAATCTTTGCCAGATCAGATACATAAATATTCCATCTATGATCATGCCTGCAGGTGCATATTTCAGGCATGGCCTTGTTTATGCATGGCCAGCCCACTCTAATGTCTGTTTAGTCTTATAACAATTAGTGAAAACCCATGATCTAAAAGGACACTGCCAGGGGGACATTTTATCTATCTAAATTCCACATATTTCTGTTTGTTCCAGGCACCAGATCAGTTAAAAGGGGATTTGACCCCCTTAATCAGTTAGGCCCATGAAGTAAACCCAAGACTGAAGGTCACAAATACAACTTACACTCTTCAATACCTTCAAAGATTCATCCAGAATAATGGAAATATAACTTCTGTTAAACTTACGTGTGACAAGAAAAGCAATGACGTGTTCATCTTTTCCTGCTTCGTTGGTGGCCAAACATTTGTAAATTGCAGAAACGTTAGCTGCTGCGATAAACAGTTTGCTCACAGTCTAATGAAAGAACACAGAGGCTCAGTATCAGTAATGCTGATAGTTTATTAACAAAAAATAAAGATCAACACAGTCAAACAAAGCATTATTTTCTCAAGTAAAAGCTCAAACTCCAGGCAAGCAGCTAT